GGCGGATATGCGCCGTCAGCAATGGACGAGGCATAAAGGACAAAATAAGCGGTACGAATACGCGCCGGCGTAATTCGCGCCGACTGGATGTGCGCCTCCAGCAAGGCGCCGATGGATAAGGAACACGCCAGCGGCGACACGCCTCCGGTGATGGACGGGTTAGGGAAAGACAACATAGCCGACGTATATCCTGCGGCGGACTCGAGTTCGGAAGACGGCGGCGGCGGGAGAATTCAACATTCACGCATGCGAATGCGCGCAGTGCGGAGACGTGAATTCGCGCATGCAAAGGGCGAACCGTTAGGCCGTATAGCCGGCTGCGTACTTTGTAACCAGTAAGAACGTTGGACGTTCTTGAATTCGGAGAAGAAAAGACTGCGCTCCAGTCTCATTCTCTCATTCTTGATTTTGCGATTTCCAGCTTCCAAGATTACGCGCAAGGGCGGAGAGACCTGCAGTGAGAGGAGAGAGTGCGGAGACGAGTTACGCAAGGATCTTGACAAACCTTGGAGAGAATTGCGAGTAGCGAACTTGAGCGTGAGCGAAGAGAGAGTGAGCAGTCAGTGCTTGAGCGGCCGACGCGCAGTGGCGATTGTGAGAGGGCGAGCGATTGGGAGAACGTTTGTGTGTGCAGGAAACGCAATGTCGAAGGTTCCCCAGCTGCGAGTGTCTCCCCTCAGGGTGCCGCAGATCGGTCTACGCGCATTTCAAGATGTGCTGCTGGGGCTGAAGCTCGATTTCCTCCTGTGGGGGTGGAACTGGACATGTCCGGAGATGGTGCGCGAGTATCTGCAGGAGAGACACAAGCCCTCACGCGGATTCCGTCCACATCCAGAAAGATGGGACATTTGTAACTGGGCGCAGGTGTTGGGCAGGTGTGCCGGCGAGGAAGGGGATCTCCTCTTCGAGGCCGATAGCGTGAAGGTGTCCCAGGAGGAAGAAATCTCCTACAATGAGCTCTTCAAAGTTGCCAGGCATCCCAAGAACGGTTTCCGCTGCTGACACAGAGCTATCCAGGTAGATACTTACGGGAGGCCGAAGTAGACACGGATCCGGACGAGGAACCTGCCAGTCCGCCTCCGGCTCCGGCCCCAGCAAGAGCAGCAGAAGAACGTCGAAGTGAGCGCATTCCGCAAAAGCGGAAGTGGGATGAGAGACCTGAGGACAAGCAGCCGGAAGTGCCAGCTGCGCCGACTCGTGGTCGGCCCACCCACGAGCCTCACAGTCGACCAAAACAGAGGGCACGCAAAATGCCAACTAGTACTGAGGAGACCGGGCGTACTCCGCTCCGGCGGAATCCCACGCAGGAGGAGATAATCGCGCAGATTCTAGGGAAGTCGACAAATACCTCTGCGCAGAAGGCACCAATGCCTTCGGAAGGAGATGGACGGACTGACAGTCGGCCGACTACGAGTCGGGCGACTGAAGGTCGACAAGCGCAAGGAAGGCCAACTGAACGGCGCGTTGAACCGGACAGCAGGCCGGAAGCAGAAGAGAGTTTGGCTGACGAGCCAACAACCCTCAGAAGGTGGTCTTCGGCGGAAGGCACTTCTGGGAAAACGCCACCAGCAAGCAGGCCAAGTGGAGTGAAGACGCGCAGGGTGTATCCGACTCCCAGTCGGACAACTGCTGGTCGGCCGACTGCGAGTCGGTCAACAGAGAGTCGGCCGGATTCGCCGACTGCGAGACGGATAGGGCCGGCGACCAGTGGGCGGACGCCTTCGGCGGACGCACCTTCAGCGAAGACACCTTCCGCGCAGATTGCGCCGGAAGGGCAGGCAGCAAAAGCGGGCGGTGCAAAGGTGACAAGAGTCACTGCGGCGTCGACCCCTTCGGAAACCGAAGATCGAGCCGGAACAGGGGCTCAAGCAGTGGGATCCCCCACTGCCCTGGATATTTTAGCAGGCAGTGGAGCCGCAATCGCAGCGGAAGCTGCTGCGCGCCACAGTTCCAGGGAGTCGCCAAGGGATTCAGTGGCGACTGAAATCCTCGAAACTGAGGATGAGACAAGCTCGGAAGAGCAGGAAGCGGATTCTGTGCAGAAAACGCCAACAGGGGTGTTGTGCGAGCAGATAGTCCCTCTCCTGCGATATCTGGATCGCAAGACATCCAAGTACTCGGGTACTGGAAAACCGCAGTCTTATGTGGAGACTGTCAAGCGCAGGACGAGGAGCAAGGTGGCCACTTGGGCCTCTAGGTGCCACGTATATCAGGAGAGGAATACCGCCCTCCGACAACACCTGGCGGTCACACAGAAGCTATACCAAGCCTTGCAGCAGCAGAGGGAGGATGCGGCGACGAAAAGCCAGGCGGATGCCGAGCTAATGCGGGCAAAGATCGAGTCGGAATTGCAGGAAGAGCGGAGACAAAACCGCATCCTAGCAGCCGAGCTTGCGCGCCAGACGCGCGCCTTAGAAGAAAGTCAAAGAGGCCGCAAGGAGGATGAGGAGTTGTTGCGCAATTTGCAATCCGAGTGCTCGGATTTGCGGGCGCAGCGTGCGGAAGCGGAAATGCAGCTAGCAGAGGTGGAAGGCAGCTGCCGGGCGCGAGAAGAGTTGGCGACGCGGGTGACTCACTGTCTAAAAGGATACGCCCATTGGGAGGTGGCAGCTCAAGAGAGGATCACACTCAGGGAGTTCGAGCTTCGGGCGGCGGCATTGACGGAGGGTGACAGTCGGAGTCGGCGGCGAGTAGCGAGGAAATTAGAAACCTTCTTGTCGGGTGCGCGCGACACTATGGCGCACTTAGAGTCGGAAGTCACTGCAGCGCTCCGACGCCTGGGGTTGCGCAGCCGGTCGGAAGACTGGCAAGGTAGAGACAGCGAGCGGAGCAGTCCGGCGCGCAGGAGGCGCAGCACCGGATCCGCCGAGTGCAGTAGTATAGTTTGGTTTCGCGCAGATGTTGCGAGTAGTAGATAGGATAGCGTAGTGCTAGTTAGGACCTTTGAGGGTATAAAGTAGATCAAGGCGTTTTGCCTTGGGACTCTTCCAGTTTTGGAAGTGCAGATCAGGAACTCACTTTCTTGGCGTGTTTGTGCATTTTGGTCCTGGCACCACGTAGAGAAGCTGCAGCATAGCGAAGTTACCGTATGTTGTAGTTGAAGGCCTTCGGCTGAATGTTCAGAGCTAGTACCCGGTTAGAGACTTGAGTAGTGCGGATCTGCACCTGCGGGTGATTTCTGATGCTCAGAGCCGGTTGCGAGTTAGAGACTTGAACAGTTCCCCCTTACTCCTTCGAGTGACATATCCTGATTGTACTCCTACGGGAAGTTTCCCCTGAATGCCAAAGTGAAGTTTTATTACTTCGTGTAAGCCTTGGTTTGCAATTCAGGTTGTGTGTGTGTTACTGGATCGTGTCTCAGTTAAGTTCTCAGTCGGGTCTGCACTCCCTGCGTTTGGTGTGAGAGTCGAGGGTGACGTCCACGGCGTATGAAGAGGCTTCGTTCCGAAGTGGGAAGTCCAGTCCGGGTACCCTACGCTAGTTCCTGGCGGAAGGGCAGTAAAAGCCGGAGTGGGAGTCACTACCTGCAGAACCTCTGAGTGAACTTTTGAGACACTTTCCCCCTGAAATCCGAAGCGGAGGTCCTGACCGACCTCCGAGTTGTGCTTTTGCCAGTTTCAGGTGTGTGTGTGTGTGTGTGTGTTGAGTGACCACGCTGTACCGTGCATCCTCCGAGCATCCTCCGAGTCGAGATCCTCCTCCGAGTCGAGCCTCCGAGTCGAGCACTGCAGTATTTCTGGGAGTGACAGTCGCCTAGAATTCAAACTCTACAAAAGTCTGTTAAACGTGACACTTTTACTCTGTGTGTTGCCTCTGTCCCTGTGGGTTCGATCTTTTTACCACCATACTGCAGTTTTAGCCTTTGGTGGGTTATTACACCAATTTTTTTGAATCATGACTTATGCAAATTGTTAACAACGGATATAGTTCTTCAGTTCAATACTTTATTTTGGAAAATTTTGTTTGGTTTTTCAAAACAAAATTAGCAATGTCATCGTCAAACTGAGAAATAAATGGAGAGCGCGAATAGAAACCATAAAGTATATTCTACAAATATTCACATCAAAAGACTAAGAAAAGTGAAACATCGTTTTGGCTCTTGCTTAATTTCCATATAACAATTTTATTAATGCATACACAGAGTTGTTTCCATTTTAATTCATGTATTGTGTTCATAGTCATTACCCGCCAGCTTCAACGGGTGTTTTTGAGAATGAGGGAATAGTGGATCAAATAGTCAAAATACCCCTTGCAACTACTGCGGTAGACTCACTGGAAAATTGATTTTGATCTCAAAAAGTTGGACAAATAGAATGCACAACTAAAAACTTTGCGCATCCAATGTGCCTCGTGTTAAAATTTAAGCAAATGTTGTCTAAGAACGTAACGATAGTGCCGACAAGATCTTATAAACCTAGAGTCTAACATGGTTATTCAAGCATGAAGAGACCAGCAGTTAGACTGTGGAACCAGCCGTCATGCTACCGGCAATAAATCTACGAAGACCAAGTTGTATCACATTCTTTTAAAGTCACAAACATTCCAATGTGAAAGAATCTTCCTCCGAGTACTCCCGGTGTCCTTGACATCACTAAACTCTAGTATCTACAATTGTGTCGTGTCAAAAAGTCAGACTGCAAATTTGTCTTTATATGACCTCCGAGCAATTTGTGATCTGTCTTCATCAACTTGCAGTGAGCAAAAATTCAAAAGAGATAACGCATTATTGTTTATAGAGAAAAAAGCCAAACTTGGCCACCGAAAAAAAAGTGTACAAGTTAAATGGTTCCAGAGAAAATCGGGACCGGTTAAAGGGGACCGGAGGTTAACTGCCAGTCCCGACCGTGACCAACCCTAGAAAAAGCTATACGAAGGTCGACTTCTGGCTTTATTCGAAAGTCATAACTCAGATAACTAATGTCTTCTGAGCTTTGTTTGAAGCCTTTGGCTGAACGACCGACAAGAACGAGCATTGAATCTTCACATGTAAGAGATTGCAATCATGCCGTACCGTAGACGTCCAAAGGCAGTCGCCTCTTTATAAGTAGATTCAGAGGATTGCGCCTCACTACGGTGACTGCGAACTTCTCTTCAACATCTACGTCCAGATCAGTCAAGCCTTCGGGCAAGGAGATTGTACACGCATGAATCAGCTGGGCGACTGTATACGCCATAGAGAGGAGTGCCAAATTCATGCCCACACACCTCCTTCTCCTAGCATCGAATGGCAGAACCTCGTAGTGTTGCCCTCGCACATCTACAGGGCTGTTTAAAAATCTTGAAGGATCAAACTTCAGAGGACTTTTCCAAACCTTGGCATCTCTGCCAATGGCATAAAGGTTCAGCATTACCCGGGTGTTGGCCGGAATATCGTATCCTGCTACTTTCGTTGCCTCCGTCGAATAATGAGGAACTCCCAAAGCAGCCACTGGGTGCAGCCGTAGTGTTTCCTTCACCACTGCCTGCAGATACTCGAGGTTGTTGAGGTCTGCTTCTTCAACCAGCCTTTCTTTACCGATCACATCGTCGAGCTCACTCTGAAGTCTTTCCATAATGTTGGGATGCCGCAGAAGCTCAATTATAGCCCACACAATCGTGTCAGAGACAGAATCAGTTCCAGCACCCATGATGTCCTGATTGAAGGAAAATAAGCTCAAAACAAAGTTAGAAATTTGATACATAATCTGGACTCTTTCGACTCATAGCTAGTTATCAATGTCAGAAGGAAGAAAAGCGTCATGCAATCTAACATTCGAGCAGAAAAGGTCAGCCTCTGTCACCAACCAGAAGAAGGAGTTGGACTTGAACACGTGAAAATTTGCTCGTAGCTAACAGCACGTCCAAGAAGTCTTCTTCAGTATTCGACTTGGAAATGGAATTTTCTTTCAGGCGGTTGTCGATGATGGAATCCATAACTTCGTAATATCTTTCCCCTATATTTTTCAATCTTCTAACTTGTCCGCTCAGATCAAGTGGCTTAAGCAAAGGGAAGAACTCTTCTATCACGAGCCAATCTGTTCTTAATATGTCATGGAATATATCCAGAAGGTCCTTGCACTGAGCATGTCCATCCATTCGAAATAACATTTGGGTAGTCAAAGATATAAACTGATGGCGCAATAAATCAGTTAAATTTATGTAACGATTCGCATGACCCTCCTCGAATGCAGTCCGCAAAGTTCTGAAAGTCATCTGTCGTCTCATATCCTGTACAAGTCACTTTCTAAACGTTAATAGAGCAGAAAATGACGACATGCTGCACCCGCGACAGAAAGAAATCATGATTTCAACGAGAGAAACATCAGCTGGTGTCCGTGAGAGACCACAGGAATCAAAACTCTTCTTGCGAAGGCCAAATGGGAGCCATTTTACAGTTTGTGAGAACAACAAGCTCTTGGATTGGTAAAGCCTTGAGGCAACTAAGAAGTAATTCTTTGTTCTCGGTGTCTAGGACAGAAATTAGCAGCACTATGTAGAGTGATTCCCTCAGCTAGCTCTATTAATTGGTTTTCCACATGAGATGCTGTCCAAACAAAATGAGACCTCTTCTATTAGACAGGACAAGTTCGATGTAGTTCTTAGAGCTTAATCAATTATTCCGTAGAAGGAGATAGTGCATGTGACCAGACTCTTCCAACCAATTGGACTTGTATCTTAAATGAGTCGATCCGCTTTTCTGAAAAAAGTTCTGTCGTAAAAATTTTACGGGCTAGACGATAGTGGTCATTTAAGGGACAAAATACGAGATCCTGACCTTTGTTGAACACCAAGTCTGACATAATCCCCGGAGAGCGAGACGCAAATATGTGATCTTGAGTCTTCAAACCTCCCTGGCCATATCTGAGGAAGTTACAACCAAAATATTTACAGCTCCCAATTCTAGCCACACTATGGTTCCATATTTTTCAGCGATTTTGGCGAGGTAGTGGTGAGGCAACCCGAATAAAAGGTGATGGAAATGGCCAATCAATGGCAAGGATGGGGGACCAGGAGGTCGTTTCCCGCCCGTATATCTTACTCTCTTGAAAACCTTCAGCATGACGTACAGGAAAACCTGTGATGCAATAAATTGCACAGACCAGGTCGTGAGTACAGCAATGTGGTCCTCCATATCTCTCACCTCAATGTCTTGTGCAGCGCGGATGAATTTCCCTGATTGAGATAATGAATTCAATGATGATCGAGGCCAGAACACGCGATGCCAACAATTTGTGGTATTTGAAGTGTCACCGCAAGCGTAGCATAAAAACGCACATGTGCAAGTTGACTTTGATTGTTCCGTGTTTGTTAAAAGGGTTCTCATTAATTAAATCTCGCGAAGAATCTTCCTCCGAGTGCTCCAGCTGTCCTTGACATCACTGAACTCCAGTATCGACAACTGTATCGTGTCAAAATTCAAATTTAACACTTTTCGAGTATAGCCTATACTCGAACAGTCTTAATCTTGATACCCTATACTGTATAGGGTATCAGATGGTGATAGACTCGAGACATGAAAATATAGAATTTTAAAGAAAAAGACAAGAAGAAGACTGCAACATAGACATGCGTTGAACGGAGCCCGTATATTGATTGGTTGGACTCCGCTCGCGCGCTTCAAAAAACCAAGGTTAAACCTCAACAAATTGTGTAATTATTGATACTTGTATATTTTGATTATTTGAGAAGACACATAATCAAAATTTTCCTCTAGTGACCGAGTGTACTTTCGTACGCAAGAGCAAAACTAAACACTGTAACATCTCTTATCTCACATGATTAGAGCATGAGGGTTGTGATAAGAACATTACCCATGTAAATAACTGATCCTCTCTTAACAAATCTGAACACAAATTTCAGGACAGGTTCGGATTCGTTCATGGCGAGGGAGGAAACGGACAGCAAATGACAGCTGGACAGGTAGAGAGATAACTGACGCGGTTGACATCGTAACCCGACCCATTATTGGTTTGTCAAGGAAAAAGCTATACTGAGGTCGACTTCTGGCTTCATAAGAAAAGCATAACTCAGAGAATTAATTTCTACTAAACTCTCTTTGAAGCGTTAGGCTGTATGATCGACTAGAACGAGCATTGATTCTTTAAACGACAGAAAATTGCAATCCTGCCCTACGGTAGACGTCCAAAGGCAGTCGCCTCTTTATGAGTAGATTCAGAGGATTCCGCCTCGTTAACGAGACTTCCATCTTCTCTTCAACATCTACGTCCAGATGAGTCCAGCCTTCGGGCAGGGAGATTGAACAGGCATGAACGAGCTGGGCGAGGTTATAGGCCACAGAGACGAGCCCCAAATTCATGCCCGGGCACTTCCTTCGCCCAGCACCGAAGGGCAGAATCTCGTAATGGTGCCCTCGCACATCTACAGGGCTGTTTAAGAATCTTGAAGGATCAAACTTCAGAGGATTTTCCCAAACCTTAGGATCTCTGCCAATGGCATAAAGGTTCAGCATTACACGGGTGTTGGCAGGGATATCGTATCCTGCTACTTTCGTTGCCTCCGTCGAATAATGAGGAACTCCCAAAGCAACGACTGGGTGCAGCCGTAGTGTTTCCTTCACCACTGCCTGCAGATACTCGAGGTTGTTGAGGTCTGCTTCTTCAACCAGCCTTTCTGTACCGATCACATCGTCGAGCTCACTCTGAAGTCTTTCCAAAATATTGGGATGCCGCAGAAGCTGACTGATTCCCCACACAATCGTATCAGAGCTGGTTTCAGCTCCAGCAAGGATGATGTCCTGATTGAAGGATCACCGATATTAGTGATCATGTGCATACGAGATGACGACGATACAACAACTGAGAATATTGATATTCGCTTCCTTGGAGTACTGCCACTGTCATACTTACGCTATTTTCTGCAATGAACTTGCAATCTGCTGTAAGAAAGAATTTAGAAGATCCACGATCCAAATTTGCCTATGTTGATGTCTGTGCAGGAGAATATAAGCTCAGAACAGGGAAAAAAATACTGATACATAACATGCTCTATTTCGACTCATACCTAGTAATCGATGTCAGAAGGAAGACAATCGTCAAGCAATCTAATATTCGAGCGGAAAAGGTCAGCATCTGTCACCAACCAGAAGAAGGAGTTTGACTTGAACACGTGAAAAAGTGCTCGTAGCTAGCAGCACGTCCAATAAGTCTTCTTCAGTATTCGACTTGGAGTTGGAATTTTCCTTCAGGCGGTTGTCGATGATGGAATCCATAAGTTCGAAATATCTTTCACCAATATTTTTCAGTCTTCTACCTTGTCCGCTCAGATCAAGTGGCTTAAGCAAAGGGAAGAACTCTTCTATTACGAACCAACCTGTACTTACTAAATCATGGATTATCTCCAGAAGGACATTGTTCTGAGCATGTCCATCCATTCGAAATAACATTTGGGTAGTCAAAGACAGAAACTGGTTTTCCACTAAATCAGGGAAATTTATGTAACGATTCGTATGACCCTCCTCGAATGCAGTCCGCAAAGTTCTGAAAGTCATCTGTCGCCTCAAATCCTGCACAAGTCACTTTCTAAACGTTAATGGCGCAAAAAATGGCGACATGCTGCACCCGCGACAGAAAGGAATCATGATGTAAACGAGAGAAACATGAGCTGGTGTCCGTGAGAGACCACAGGAATTGAAACGGAGGCCAAATGCGAGCCATTTTGCAGTTTGTGAGAAGAACGAACTCTGGATTTGGTACAGCCTTGAGTAGACTTAGAAATAATTCTTTGTTCTCGGTGTCAAGGACAGAAATTAGCAGCACTTTGTAGAGCAATTCCCTCAGCTATCTGTATTAACTAGTTGTCCACGTGAGATGCTCTTCAAACAAAATGAGACCTCTTCTATTAGACAGGACACGTTCGATGTAAATCTCATAGCCCTGTCAATTATTCCTTAGAAGGAGATAGTTCATGTGACCAGACTCTTCCAACCAATTGGACTTGTACCTGAAATGAGTCCATCCGCTTTTGTGAAAGAAGTTCAGTGGTGAACATTTTCCGGGCTAGACGATAGTGGTCATTGAAAGGACTCCATATTAGATCCTGAGCTTTCTTGAACACCATGTCTACCATAATCCCCGGAGGGCGAGACGCAAATATGTGATCTTGAGTCTTCAAAACCTCCCTGGCCACATCCGAAGAAGTTACAACCACAACATTTAAAGCTCCCAGTTCCAGCCACACTATGGGTCCATATTTTTCAGCGATTTTGGCGAGGGAGTGGTGAGGCAACCCGAATAAAAGGTGATGGAAATGGCCAATCAATGGCAACGATGGGGGACCAGGAGGTCTTTTCCCGCCCGTATATCTTACTCTCTTGAAAACCTTCAGCAGGACGTACAGGAAAACCAGTGCTGCAACAAATTGCACAGACCAGCTCGTGGGTACAGCAGTGATGTCCTCCATATCTCTCACCTCTATGGCTTGTGCGACGAGGATGAAAGGCCCTGACCAAAACAATGACTTCCCTTATGATCAAGGCCAAAGCACGGGATCCCACAATATGTGGTATTTGAAGTGTCACTGGTAGCTAACCATGCAGACGCACATGCGCAGGATGACTTTGATTGTCCCGGTGGTCTAGACTAGTCTTCTTTTTCTATTACTAATTTTTCCAGGATCATTATCCTGGAAAAATTCATATGGTGAGAGAAACGAGGCATGAAAAGAAAAAATTAATAAAGAAAGAGAAAAAAGAGATTGCAACACAGTCATGCGATCAATGGAGCCCCTATATGATTGGCTGGGCGCAACGTTGGATTCCGCTCGTGCACTTGATAGTAAGGTTGATAGAGTAGAATTCAGAATCGATTAATTAAACAACATTTAAAAGAGCATTTTATAAAAATCATAAAAAGAGCTTCTCTGTGGCCAACGAACCTGTTTTCTACTTTTTAAATATTTTATTGAGAAGAGACATCAGGCTAATTATTATAGGTCGATTGTCAGTGATAATTTTTGGCGTTATTGCCAGGCTTTAGATGTCATCCCTATTATCTAAGAGAGAAATATCAGTACATGGCATGTGTTTCTTGGACATAGTCCAACTACCCGTAGCACAAAAGCAATGGAACGCATCGGATACTAGATAATTCGAAGACTGATAAAAGTGATTATAAAAAATCTTCCAATTTTAATTTTTATGAAATCTTTGAAAACTTGTAAAGATTGATGTTAGAAACATATACATGAATTTGCAGAAGGTTTCTCGTATATAGTTGCATAGATGACATCAACGAAAATATCTAATCAAATTCTCATATACTGACAAGGACGTAATCGTAAAAAGTATACCTAGAAATATGCCAGACCGCAAGCGGCTCTTGATCAATGTGAATGTGTTCAAGCCTTATTCCGCCTACGACGCCTTGTTTGATAAAATACGCATTAAAGTTAAGGTATACTTTATGGTTTTAGGAGTATCAAAATAGTAATTAGATTCCTGTGAGCGTCCTTGAGATGAATCCCAGATTATGATTCTACAATATCAGGTGCTCTAGAAGTACAAGAAGTTGCCGTTTTGAGAAAATATACTTGATACCTAAAGACATGTGAAAACCAACAATGAGAGCTAAAAGCTCCACCTCTTGAAATGATTAAATAATCAGTAGAGAATCTTATGATATCCAAATTATCACCCCAACTAGCATGAGAAAAGCTTTCATCCCTAATTTCCTGTTTTCATTGTACATATCAAGACTGCCATTCAAGTACCATAGTACTCTCTTCAGACATCTCAATCACATGCAGTTGGAACATTAGTGTATCTGGCTAGAGTTCCCATGAAGTGAGTTATTTCTGGTTTTGTACTCACTATAGCAAACACGAGTGAACCTAGTGCACTCCGCCATAGGAATTGCAAGTCTTCTATGGTTTTTGTGCTAGTTTCATCGATCTCCTTCATCAACCTGCAGCCATGTTCCAAGGAGGTAGAGACAGGTTTGGCATCCTCCATTTTCTACCTATCTCCAATGTACTTGTTTGGCTCAATCTAATCCATCCTTCCTTTCGGTTTCTGTCAATGTGGACCTAGAAGAAACTTTACAGTACTCAATACTGTAAAAACCCTTGACAAAATTGTCTTACTCCCTTCCCTATCAACAACAAATCATCAATGTA